TTTAGACAGACGACGGCGCTAGATTTGTGGCCGCATTAACTGGGTCTCGGAGCAGAACCGATAGAGATCGTCAGGTGTTTCCATTTACTCAACCAAGGCGGCGTTCTAGCTGCGTTCTCGAATCCGCCTGGACTCGTATCTATGCCCGTATCTGTATCTGTATCTGCTGGCGCACGGTCTAAATGGCACCCAAAACAATGCGCATAATAAATATTCTTTCTGTGGAGGTGGAGGTTTTTGGTTTTGGGGTAAGGTGATTCGGTGGTTAGGTGACTAGGTACCTTGGTGGTTACCCAGGTTAAACCTGTTCGCGGCGGCATATTTATGGGCAGTCTGCCATGGCATTGCGCACAGGGAACATATCTAAGTATCTGTGTGACTGCAAGCCACAGTTATAACCGTTATAACTTTTGTTTTAGCCCGTTTTCTTTTTCGGTTTTCATTAATAGTTCAAATAACTGCACAAGTGTCTCGACCATCAAAGCCAGACACCACACTTAACGAGCTATATTTTTACGACCTAGTCGGCAGTCTGTTGCTGTAATCTATTGATCTACGGACTTTCATAAAGATCGAGTTACAAACAGGCGACATTATGTACCTATAGACAGTATAAAGTCCATAAAAATTATACATTTTATTATAAAAAATGTTCCTAAATATTAAGACACATATCAGTAGGTTATTTATTATAAACTAAACTTCTGGTTTGCCTTAAAAGTGATTTAATTAAAGTGTAATTTCAGGTATAAGTTACTTTTATGGATGTTCCCCTGTATTGTATTAGTTTCATGCTTTGTACATTCATTTCCATTGCACAACATGTTGACAACAATGTCCATAGGGGCACTTGCCCCGTACCTAGTATACTTGGGTGGAAAAACTAAAATTGTGTACCTTAAATATCAAATAATAAACCAATGAGGCTGCAATCGACACATGAGAGAGCGTATGCAAACTCGAAGCATACAGAGAGCAGATCGTGGCTTTATTGCCACATCCACTGCTAACATCCCAGGCCTCTTGTGTCCGCCTTGGCCAGTTTTTCCGCCAACGGTTGCTTTCCCACGCTAGGCTGCTGCAGCTGCTCCGATCGGAGCGGATTGGATTGGATCGGATCGGATCGGCGATGCCGAGAATGCCCTGTTGGCGGCTGATACGAGTATTCTAATGCGCCCGGGACACGGATAGAGATTAATTAATATTGCAGCTCGTTAAGTGGCAACAAGGCTTTTTGCTGTTTGCCTTTGTGGCCTTTATCTTTCTGCAAACTCATTGTTTAATAATTATTTCGTGTTATAGAGGAAATTCCATTTGTTTTTGCATTCAGGAACTCCACTTGGGTTTCCTTAAAGAAAGGGGGAGTCGAGGTAATTACAGAGGCTGGGAAATTATGACTTTTTGATATGAAACATGGAGACAGTAAGGAAATGTTTATCACAATACTCTTTTAGAATAAAAATGTAGCTTAAATAGAGTTTAAAAATGAACTTAAATCTCTTATTTAAGGCTAAAGTAGCTCATTCCAAAAGTGCTTGCCTGACATCTCCCCAGTCGCAGTCTTCCATCATATCATGTGAATGCTGACGATGCGCTCATCCCATAGCTCATCTTAGTAGCAAATAAACTAAATATGTTCAACTTAACGACTGTCCGCTCAATATCAAAAACAATCTTGGGAGTTTTTTTCCCCATTTGGCTTTTGTTGTCGGCTATTTGTATTTAAAGTTTTTCTCTTTTCTGCTACCTTTTTTTGTGTGGTTTTTGTGCTTTGCCGTCAAGGTCTTTTGGCGGCAAACGCAGACAGCGATTTATGAGAGGGGTGTTGCCTTTTATAATTTGGCAGAGCTATTTGTTGTGTGTGTGTTGTGTTGAGGCTGTTGTATAATATTTGCTTATGCTCGAAATACATGTATAATTTGCTAGCCACGTTGAAGATCTGTGGACTGTGGGGGCGTGGACGGCTCTGCCTCTGGGAAAAAATGGGAGACTTTAATGTCAAGTGTGGCTCACAGAATTTCGGCTGCCGGCTTAAGGCACTCGAGAAGCCCAAAAACTGTGTTTTCAACAAGTTTTTTGATTGCTTCTCTGTTTTGGGCACATTTCATCAAATGCCTGTTCACTCAATTAGATGTTGAAACTGAGGCTGAGGCTGAGGCTGAGGACGTTGCCATAACTCTGGACCTCTGCTGGCTCCGATTCGGCGAGCATTGAATTATGTATCAAGTCAAGAGCTTGTGTGCATATTGAGCTCTGAGCTCTGCTTATTGTTCATCCACTTCTAATTGTTTCCTATGCTGGAGCGGAGCAAATTGAAATGTGATGTGGTTATTTAGGCGATTTCGTTCCGCTCTTTGCCCATAAAAACAAAGGAAAATGGGAATTTGATTAAATTTAAAGTTAATCGTTTAGAAGTTGGGAGTTAAATAAGTTCGGAGTATCCATGGTCTCTTAAGTATTTTAATAAAAACACAATTCAAATGAATTTGTTTTCATCTCAAGTGGAGTTTTAAATCAAAAGATCTTTAAGCAATAAATACAAATTAAAAGCCAACTAATACTCACAAATATCTTATAATAAAAATGCAAGTTATGGCGTATCGAATCGGTGTGAAGAATCAAACGAAACCCATAATTTTCGGCTGCTTAAAACGATACCCGAAAGATCCTAAGGAATTTGACTCTGCCTCAACCCGACCGCAATAGCAGACAAAACCGGTTGGCATCATTGATTCAATAAGCATTCAACTTAGCATCGATCTGCGAGTCGATCATTGATTTATATAGCCCGACTGCAGTCGCGGAATGTCTTGATTTTTGTTTTCATATAATTTGCACGCAATGAGTGTGCAGGCGACACGAGGCATTAATTACGAGTACATGTGATGGTGACATCATCATCACTGCATCATCGTCATCTGTCAGTTTGCAGATTTCAATTGCAGTCTCAAATGTCAAATGAAAGTTGCTGCAGCAGCAACAGCAGCAGCAGCAGGGCCTGTGTGTTAATTATCTTCAATGCATAACCGCGGTTACTTGGGTTTTTTGTTGTCTCTTAGATTCACACGCAAAACCCAAGACGAGCAGCAGAAGGTTGCAAAAGCTGCGAGAGTGGGATTGCATATTTAACACGAGTTTATATAACCGCCTTGCCACGGGTGATTAGCTCTGATTGATTTGTGTTTTTTTGATGGTCGTCCAGCATTTGCATATGGCTTGGTATCTTGGTATCTTTGTATCTTTGTATCTTGGCTTGAAGCCAGGCTATCCATGCAAACGCATCTCGAAGCACAGCTGCAAATGGCCAGCCAAAAACCTGTTGTCTGCAACCACATTACATAACTTTCGCTACATCTGTTGGAATTACGCTTATGACCATGAGCCGTGGTCCTGCTACCTCTAATTGCTACTACCAACTCCGTGCTGACCCCAAACAAGCCAACAAGCGCACAATAAGAGACACACAAAATTATCATTATTATCACAACATTGTCATCTGTAAAGGAAAAATAAAAAATATAGAAATGAAGGAGGAGCAGGAGGAGAAATAGAAACACTTGGCCGCTGGCGCTGGTTTTGAATTTCTAGATGTTGCTGCCGCCGCTGCTGCTGCTGCTGTCCGTGCAACTTTTATTGGATGGCAGGCAGCATGCTAAGCATGGCTGGCTGTTAAGCATAAACATCGCCAGCGGTGAAGACACGAAAAATAAAAAATAACCGAGTGAAAAATAAAGAAAAATAAACTAACCAAACCGAACCGAAAGCTAGTTCTGTTATGCACAGTGGGCTGGCTGTATGGGGAAATGAGTTGGCTCGGGTCGAGTTAACTATGGGAGCTGCTGATATACTAAAGATAAGGCCCAGGCATTTGAAAAACGCTTTTCATTGTAGTGGCAGTCCCATGATAGTATCGTTAGGTAAGGGCTTATGCTTATGCTTATGCCTTATGCCTTATGCTTATGTCAGGCAGCACTTCCTACCATCACGATTGTCATTTCGGGCAAAAGAGAAAGCAATAAATTAAATGCATATAAAGCCATTAAATTTCACTCATTGATCCATTTGGTATTGGCATTCCCCACTGGTCCATGCCATGTCCAATGCCCAAAGGCAATTCCACAGATTGCAGTTTTTCTGGCAAAAGACCAAAAATGTTTGGGGTTTTGGCATCCCATCCTGTTGACGACTACAAATGACATAAGACACATCGAAAAGGCAAACAAACTGTGTTTGTGTTACCAAGAAGAGAGCGGAATCATGCTCTTATAAGGTCAGTCTTTAGCTGCCGTTTTGCCAGTTAACCAGCAACACTTTCAGGGTCAACTGGTGCGTAATCAATGGGAATCAATGAAATCACCGCCCCCGCATTCGGTTCAACGATTTGCGGAAATTGAAACTGAAGGTGGAAGACAACCTTAAGTGGCACAAAATGCAATTCCTCTGGGCCAAAAACAAATTTATGGCAAATAAACAAGTTAAGCAGACACTGGGGAAAACGGGAGAGATATTGCAAACTTTACTTTTGAACTAGAGTTCATAAATATTTAAAAGAAAGCGTTAAAATCTTGTGTTTTTAAAAGAAGATTTAATATTTAAAAAGCTTTTATATAGCCTTAAAGTAAGAAGTTTTCTCTTTATGCCCTCGGGTGTATTGTAATTATGATTTTTATAAGTTTTGTGACCTCAGAACTGTAGGAAATTACTGTCTTGCAATTAAGCAAATTAAATTCAACCTCGAAAACCTTTAATAGGTTTTAAAGTTACCCTCAGCTGGCCTTAAATTTCTTTATATCAAAGCCCTGACGGTCATTCCTTTAAAATTTAAACAACGCCTAAATCAATATTTTTTATTGCCAGATTTGCATTTTTCTCTGTACAGAGGTCTCTGCATCCACACACATTCCTCTCAATATATATACACATATCGGTATATAGGAGGAATATATTCCGCGGCACGGCTGTGGGCTACAAAATAAATAAAAATACAAAAACTGGCTTACCTTCTCTCCTCATTGTTATACAGTTGAACTGGTGTTGCCGCTGCTGCTGCTGCTGCTGCTGCTGCTGCTGCTGTTGGTGGTATTGTTTCGCTTATTTATTGTTAACGCTTTTTGCCAGCCACTGCGACAGGTTGTTAGTTTCTGGCTGCTGTACACATTTCATTACACTTCACTCGAGAAACAGAGAGAAATATCATATAGATTAATATTAATATAAATTCGAGCTTGGGCGATGACGTCGTCAGAGATATGCAAATGCGTTGGTGCGATCGCGACTTCGACTGTGATTGTGATTGCGATTGCGAGTGTGTGTGTGTGTGGGCCAAAAACCTTTACTGGTTCTGGCCAAAATGCCAGCCAACACGTTTACTAGTAATACTTGGATGCGAGAGTGGAGCGAGGTGTATGATATAATCGCTGGCATGAATGAATGAACGAACGAAAGGCGTTGCAGCTTCTCTCGCGCGTTGGTTTAAAGACCAAAAACAATGGCCAAGATTCGCCGTGGACCACGGAACTCGTCTAACTAAGCTCAAATCTTCTCGGCCCAAACTCTGGCGGCGGCACAGCAAATTGCAGCGCCATAATGAAATCGCCCATAATCTTGGCTAAGGCTAATAATAGCAGCAGGTTTTGGAGCTGGCCAACACACACACACACACTCGGATACAGACTCTGGCTTAGACACAGATACATTTACAGATGGTTAGCAAATTTGGCCAACACTCCGTTGTTTGTTCTGTTTTTTTCTCGCCAGCCGATCGGGCGTATACTTCACGCCGAAAAAATTCAAATGACACTCACGTAATCCGCTAAAAATAGTTGAATTTACTGCGCGCTTTTTTTTTTTTTTTTTCTTCGGTTTGGAGTACAACTTTTGTTATTGTTATATATATGTATATATATATATATATATTGTTTGTCAATCTCGGGGGATGGCAAATGCACCGCTGACGGGGTTTAACTCGAAGCGAACGCGTCGCGATCTCGGCTCAAACTGATCGCTGGGGAGTTGCGACAACGTTCAGGCACCTGTGAGTGGTCTAAACCCGAACTGGTCTAAAACGCGGCTCAAACCGGTCGCGCTCTTGGCCAAGTCTGTCTCTCTAGCTCTCTCTCTTTGTATATTTTTTTTCTGACCAAGTCTCTTTCCCAACTTTCCTCTCCGGTTTTGGCTTGAAGCTGGTGCTGTGCCGGTCTCTACCATCTGCACTTTGCACTTTTGGCGACTGCATTTTGTTGTCAAACTGCAAAAACTGCATTTAATAACCGTTAACCAAAACTTCTGCAACACGTGCACTGCATTCATACACTGAAAGAAATTCTTTGTGATGTTATTAAATATGTTTAAAGATTAATTACTATATATGAAAGGGTTTTATGTGTGATTATTATAGGTATTTGTTTGATATAAATACAAGCAAAGGCCTTAGGTTCAAAGAGAGTTGCTTATATTTGTTTTCAGTGCATTTAGTGGCTGGTTAGGTTGACGTTACCGAGGTTGGAGGTGAGGAGCACTTGGAGGCTTACTACATTAGGCCTCATTGCCTGTCAGGCACCACTTTTGGCCAGCTGCCGCACGTGACTGTGCAGCGCTTTTGACTGCTGCTGCTGCTGCTGTAGCATTAGGGGTCAGGCGGTGGGGCATAAGTTGGGGCTTAATTTGCATCGTGTCATTAGGATGAGTGGCATCGATAATGGGGCCAGACCCCGGCAGTCTCTGGGTCACTCTTACCACAGTTTGAGGCTGCAATTTTGAGCTGCAGCAAAATGATGGTACTCAAAATGGTCATTCATGTAAATAAATATAGCATGAATACTCGAATTTTTATTGGTAGAAGCATAGGAAATGTATAAAAATATGTTTAAAATAATTAGAAAACTCTTCAGTCACAACTTTTGGCAACGCGGTTTGAATTAATTTATTCAAATGCAGCCAAGAGCTAGAAATAAAGTTGGCTAGCATCCACATTTATTATTGGATTTATTTTGAATGCTAGCTGGCAAAGCAGAAAAGGAAATTGCTTATTGTTTTGCACAATTTTCAGTCACATCTCACATAATTAATGATGGGGAAAGAAGTGGAACTAATTTTATAATTAATAAGATAAAGTTTGAGATTTATTTTGCTGTTTTTAAAGAATTTTTGAAGAGGATGTTGCCATAAATTCTTATGTGAGTTTATTATTAAAGTTGCGTTTTACTTTTATTAATTTAAATTTATATTTTATTTTGGTTATTTTGGAAACATTTTAGAGTATAAACCCTTCGACTTTAGAGAACATAGAAAACTCTTTGTTGTTTTATAGTCTTTTTTTCCCCTCCAGGATGCGGGTCTCCTGCAAGTTTGATTCCTTCGATGCTGACACGCACAGGATCCTGTGATTTGTCTATTTCGGGCTCTATGTCAGCAGCACTCCTTGCATACATATGTATATGTGAGCACTATTTTTTTCTGCCTTGAAATCCGTTTCAGGTTCTCACAGGACGTTACTTTCTGTTTACTTTACGCATCAGGCACAAGTCGTGTGTACGCCTGATGTTTGTTCTCTGGCACTGCAAGTCGTAAAAAGTTTCCTGTGTGCGCTCTGTGTCCTTGGCGGGTGTCATAAAAGTTGCATAAAACTGCACAGATTTCTCAACTGTGTGTCGTGAAAAAAGTTTAGGATAGTATATCTTAAATACAATAGAACGTCATGCCAGTGTCTCTAAGGATCGCTTTAACATGACCCTAGTCTTTGGCTTTAAATACCAACCAGCCAGTCGTTTGTACTCAATGAAAAAAGACTAGACAAGACAGGGAAAACTGCGGCCTCGCATGTGTCAGGATTTAATTTAGATAAAAGCTTTTCCACACTTCCGTCGCTGGGCCGAGGAGCCTCCCCTCCTCACCAGCCAGACCTTTGACGTGCACCAGATAATGCCTCAAATCAATTCCGTAAACACTTTCCCACTTACCCGCACTTGGCCGCAAAACCCTGTCAGCGGGACGACAATTTATTTTCATGCCAAGCTCCTCCTTAGCCGGCATATATGGATGACGTTGGCCTGTCGCCGGGATTGATTCCGGCATATCAGCTGGAGAGCATTAGGTAGTCCGAGTGGACATATTAAATGTAAAGGAAACAGAGCTCTATTTATTTTTATTTATAAAATTAAATCACACAGTTAAATGATTCAAAAATATCGTGAATGAAAACGTAATTAAAATTGCCTCCCTTTAGTTCAAATAAAATTTACTACTTTATAATATTTAAAATCTGTTGATGTAAAGTTCAACAAGTTAATCAAACTACCATAAACCCAATTTAAAATCCAACTGAATTTAATTGTAATTCAATATTTACCCCTGCGAATACCCAAAAGTCCCGCTCCGAATGAAAGATAGTGGTAATTTAATTATTCATTGACATTTATTGATTGAATTTGATAATGTTTCTGTTTTCTGCAGCATTTTGTTGTTGAATTTTTACATTGAATATGCGTTAAGGATTTTCTTTAGTTTTTCAGTTTTCATCGACTTGCTTTGATTTGATTATGTACTTAGGGTTAGTTTAAGAGTTTGCGGTGTTTGCTGTTAAGACATCTGCCCAGATAAATGTATATCCGTACGGAGGGGAGCTTAGGAACCTGATTTGTGGCCCGTTGGTAGTTGCAAAACACACACACATTTTCCATATATATGTATTCACATTTAAAAAACTATATTTTTACAATTGTCTGTTAGAGTTTCCTTCAAAATATTCATATCAAGTTTCGGCGGTAAAGTGTTTTATATGTAGTTCTGTCTTGGCATACAAAAAATACACATATAAATACTTAGTATCTCTGTGGGTGGGGTGGGCTGTGGTTTTGTGTAAAAGGAAAATAAATATGGTATTTGTAACGTATATATAATCGAAAATAGTTGCCATTTGTTGCTGTTTCTTTGTATTTTTCTTTGTATTTTTTTGTTGCCATCTGCTGGTCGCTTGTATATGGTATGTATATAGCAATTAAAAGTATTTGTATTTGCATTCTGTATACGTAGGAGGGCTCTTTGTAGGTTTCTTTTGTAGTCTGTAACTAGCACAACAACTGCACATTCAAATAGGTGTCTGTATATATTATATATCGTTATAGGTATAGGTTATGCATGTTTTGGCCTTGATTCTCAATGGTTTTTCAGTTGCTTGTTGGTTTTGTGGCGGCTGGGAAATGCGTTTGGTCTCTTTGTTTGGCCAATTTTCGCATTTCTTGTCAGTTGAAATTTGTAGTTTTGTTTACATTTTACCCTACACTCTGCTTGCTTCATATATTTGTTTTTTATTTACTTGTATTTTTTTTGCTTAGCTAGTGCTAGTAACATGAATAATTTAATTTGATTTGATTTCATTTACTCTTGCTGTAGGCCCGTGGGGTGTGTTTTTGCATTTTTATCTATTCGATATAGGAAATTATCATAGGTACACATATCAACACAGTAGTTTCGGTTGGTTAGTACAGCAAACTCTTGCCCATATTTATACGTTTATCAATTTAACTATTTATTTGTTTACTGCACATAAAGTCTGGAAGATAGCCGTTTGCAGTTTGAAGTGAGAAGTCAAAGGTAACGAGTGCTCTTGGAAGATTCGGAGTGAGGAGCGTGGAGTTTTATGCCGGGCTGTAGGAGAGCCTGGCACATATAGCACTGGAAATTATGACTCTACTTCGATGTTTGATTCTTTTTGGGATCATAACTCCTGGTATCGAAGTATTCGATGTATCGAAGTTGAATTCTAACGCAAGGAAACATAACAAAAACCGTATAGATACAGACGTTGAAAGGCTGTGCAAGGACTGCGAACCAAAGGTTTGCCTTACTAACTAAATACTTGCTTGATTACCGATTAATTATTTATCCATTTATGTATATATATTCATATGTTTTGTTTGTTGTTTGTTGTCTTCTTTGCATAATACTCGTACTCAGTAGTTTGTGGCTGTTTGCTCGAGTTTAGTGTAAATATTAAAAATATTTGTAATTTGACTTGGGTTTTCCTCTTTGTTTGTTGTGCATCTTTTTGGTAGTTGTTCGTTTTTAGTTTAGCCTCAGCTTTAGCTTTAGTTTTGCCCTCTAAAATTTCCCTCGGCTGCCTTTGCGAAAGGTATAAAAAGTTCTTGCTACAGTTTACAGTTTACAGTTTACAGTTAAGAGTTACAGTTTCAACAATCCCTCAATTATTCATAATATCTTCAAGTTCCTTCGTTATAGAGACCATTGTATATAGTACAAAATTTACAATAGAAGCGAGACCTTTTCTTCTGGGTGGAAAAACCAATTCGGGGGAGGGGCTAGAAAAGTTTTCGGGGGGATAAAAGACATGGGGAAAAGCCCTAAGTATAAGCAAAAGAGCCGAAGGCTGCCTCTCGGGGTACTAGCGCGTGTCTAATAAATTTATACAAAATCTGTGCTCAGAAAATAGTTTACAAATATACTTTAGACTTAGTTACACTGTCCTTTGGGCGTGATATAAATAGTACACATCATGTACATATATCTCATCATCATCATATCTCGTATATATATATATATATATTGTAAATAGCTTCCTGCTTGTATAGTATGTCTTGTGTTTCGTGTCCTTGGTTTTGTGGGGGGTTTCAAAGAAGCTCGGAGTTACGCAAATTTTGATTGTTTCTTGGCTTTCACTGGCGTATAGAAAAGGTGCTGAATTGTCACTTGTATTTGTTAAGTATACACGTTGTTACTTTGCTGATATATAAATATATGTATTCGTAGAGTTTAAATTGACCCAAAAATGTGTGTATATGTTGTATTCATGCGTTGGCCTTGGTAAAAGTCTTCAAAACGCACAACATAGCTCAAGTTTTGTGTCTTTATGAAATTTTAATGATTTCTGTTAGATACGATTTCTTTGATTGCCCAATTTATGGCAATTTCAGCAATGCTAGGCTTCTACTAAGTCCCTAATTTTGTGTGTGTGTCTGTGTTAAGTGTTTTTTTAATCCATAATTTTTATCCGAATTTTGTTCAAGCAGCGGGGGAACGGGGAGTGTCCCCCGTCTTGTTGCTCGTCACTTTTTTGCACCATTTGAATTTCGATTCTTTGCTAACATTTACAAACTGAAGAGAAGGAGGAGTCTTTGTCGAACAACTAGAGTAGGTACAATACATACAATGCTGAATTATGGATACTGGCTAAGGTTTAGCTTCGGTTAAGTTATCGTCGTCGAGGCAATTACATTGCTCTGCTGGAAACGTTTTACAAACGGTTCGTTCGGTTGTCCTGTCTTAGTCTCAATCCATCCAAAAATCAATTGATGAAGCGCGCTTTCTGCTTGCGAACAAAGTCCTGGGCCTGCTTGTCGTTGATTCGCACTTCCAGGATTTGCAAAATGGGATTGCCTTTCGGGGAGAATGAGGGATAATAAAACTTAACATAGCATCGTGATGGGATTAAAAGTGCTTAAAGGTGCTTCTCTACTCACATTTATCCTTTTGCTCCATGAGCGGCAGCTCGATTTGTTTCAGCCCATGGAAGTTGTCCACACTGGTGCTGTAGTCCGCCACTCCGGGTATGTTGCCCAGGGCCAAATAGGCTTCGCCTCCGAAATCATTGGCCGTTAGGACATCGTGATCCATCACTGTGAAGCAAATCATGGCGCCCTCGGTGAGGCACTGCTCCAGGGTCACAGAGAACTCGAAGCACTCATCGAATATGGGGTTCAGAGTGCGCTGCAATAGGGGAAAATAAATAAAATAAAATTAAAGTTAAGCACGATATCAGATATATTGATAAATTTTAAAGAAATAATAGGTTTTACCTTGTGCACATTCGTTTGCTGCTCCATGCAGTGCAGGAATATCCTTCGGGGCAGCAGCTCGATAACCACAAAGGGATCACTGAAGCCATTTGGATCCAGGGGCACCACATCTCGGGCATGCAGCACCTCCACACAGAGCGAGTCGTGGTTGAAGTAGGCCCGCACCGCCAACGATCCATACGGCGAGGGAGTCACCGCCATCAGCTGCTCCCTCAGACGCTGCATGTAAAACATATCGATGAGTCGGTCCGTGTCCGTCTTGTGGAACTGGAGTCGCTGCTCTATGCGCCAGAAATCCTCTGTGTGCAGGCACTCAAGGAGCAGACCCTGACCCTCGGCGTGGAAGAAGTCAATGAGCAGCTGGAGCGCCTCGTACAAACGCTTGTGGAAATGCGTGGGCTTGTCCGTCTCATCGCCCGTCTCCATTTGGCGTGACATCTCGCCGAGCACCGTTTTCCAGATGAAACGCAGAGATCGATTGAAGTTCTTGGTGAGCAGGGCGCTATTTAGCGCCGCCAGGTGGCAGTCCAGGTACTCCAGCAGCGGTACAATGGCCTGGTTGGCCGGCAAAGAGTCCGGGGACCAGGCCAAATGGAACATGGCCTTTTGCAGCGACATTTGCATGAGCGGAGCCAGCTTGGACAGGATCCGTTCGGTTCGGTTTTCCATGTGGGTGAGACTGGCCTCCAGCAGATTGTCGGCCGACTCCTCCAGTGGTTGCTCATCCGAACGGAACTCGGCCAGCGTGCGACGCACATACTCCACATTATTGACCGTCACGCACATGTCATCGGAGCAGCGGAATGGACCCTGCTGCTCGTAGTAGCCACTGTCCGCCAGAGCCGTGTGGATAAGGTCACAGTAGTGCATCGCCGCCGAGCACACCACATCGATCAGTTGGGACTCTAGCATAATGGCCGTGTCTTCGTCTGGCCAGTTCATCACCTTCCAGAACTCCTTGATGTTTAGCAGTGTGCTCGCTGTGTCCACCGAGGAGCTGCTGTAGCGCACAATCCGTTCGCCCTCACAGATGGCATCCATACGTATGGCCGCCCTAATCCTCTGCAGCGCCTTGGCCTTGCTCACCATCATCCAACGCTCTAGCGTGGGGATGAACCACTCGTGGCTCTGGCTCAGAGCTAAAGGCTTCTCCGGCGGCTGTGGCTGCGCCGAAAGATGACGCTTTAGCTGGCAGAACTCCTGGAGGGCCAGGAACAATTCGAAGGGCTTTGTGTCTACAGGTTCGGCATCGCCCTCGAGCACGGCATACTGGGAGAGATTCATACGGACTCCAGGCACCTGGCCAGCGGCCATTCGGGTGTACACCTCCTCGCCCACCATCGCATCGTATTGTTTGTAGATGATGCTAAAGTACTGAATGCCATTCGTGCTGCGGGGAAAGAGGAGGAGTTTTTATTACGTGGTTGCGCATTGCTTCAAGGGATTACCCATTATAGGATTACACATTTATTAAACTAAATTTAGGGTTTTAGCGAAATAGTTTACTTTAAAAATTGCAAACAATTCGGTTTAATAATGGGTTTTCCTGTTATTTATTTATTGAGACGTAAAACTCCAAATTAAATATTAAATAAAACTTAATTGAAGTTCTCCTACTTTCAAGTTCTTATAAAATTTAAATTAAATCAATTTTAAGAAACTTTTAACTAAAAATTAACGCCTTCAGCAAGACAACCTTAGCAGCCGAAAACCAAAGCCATCAGCCTGTGTTTAAAGCAAGAAAATGCCGCAATTAGCCTCCAACTGAATTTTGCTAATGCCGCAGGACTCAGGACTCTGGCCTCCAGCACTCAGCGCTCAACACTTTCCACTGACAGCCCCTGGACATTTGCTAAATGCCTTGTCAGGATGCCCAACGACCCACCGAGGCCCAGAGAAGAAGGGCAACGTGAGAGCATTTTTATGACAGCGCAATTAATTTGGGGCTTATGTGTGTAAGCCACTTGATGTCCTCATTAAGGTCCTTTTATGGCCGCGCTAACTGGCAAATATGTGACTGATTAGTCCAGCGGGAAGGCCAAGGATGCGCCACTATGCACCTATAAACGGAATGTAACGAAACGAGCCGTTATTGAAGCCCTTTCCGGCCTGGCCTAATGGCGTAACGTGATCCGCTTCGTTAGGTGGATCGATTTATCATTTAATTTGCCAGAGATTTTGAAACTCTGTCACCTGTAACAGTGCTGGGCGAATGGAAGAATAAGAGGGGAAAAATATCAAGTTTAAAATTATAATAATACCTTGCTTTCCTTCTTTTTATTTCGCAAGATTCTTTCATTTTAGTCTTCTGTTATTTTTAGAAGGGTCTAAAAATTCCTCTGAATAAATCTATTGTGTTATTTCCATTGAAAATCTTCTTTGTGTACCTGCTCAATGGAGTTGCTTCCTGCTCAATGCTCGTATCTATTACAAGAGTGGGGTTTTTAAAATATATTCACACTATTTGGGGTACTTGTTGCCCCTTGAAAAGCACTCCCAGTTGGACATTGAAGTGTCCCAGTTGTCGGCAACGCCGCTGCCGGCAATCTGTCATGACAACATTTTGCGGCCCTCATTAATGCTCGTTAGCTTTATGACTTTGACTCGGGCATTTGACAAATGCTCAAACTGATTAGAGACCGACAGTAGAGTGTAGAGTCGCCCCCGGCGACGATAGTGGATAAGTTGGTATCGAAATGACGCCATTTGCGCGGGTGGCACACACAATTCAATTGGGTCAGCGGGCGAGTGGAGTGCATGTGTGGCATGCTCACATGGTAACCGGGAGCTGGAAGGGACTTGGGTATGGTACTTGGGACTTTAGAGCAGGGAGCCCGCTTTTATGTACGACACGTGTCCGACATACTCAATTTGGTGATGGGCCAAAGGTAACTAACCCGAACCGGCGACTAAAAGTGATCCCGTAATCCGCAATCTACACATGAAAAAAATTTAACTTAAAATATAATAATGGGTAATTAAAGTTTAGCTTATAATTTTCAGTGTAAGAAAGAAGGAAAGAAGAACTTTGGGATGGATGAACCCATTGGATTGTAAAAAATTGGGTAACATTTTTAAATCTTGTATTTTCTCTCCGTGCAATACTCACTTGTCGAAAAGGGCATGATAGTAGGTCTGCCCCAGCTGAATGTCGGCCGTTAATGTCGTTACGAAGTTCGATAATGGATTGGGCAGGCTCTGCGACTCCCGGATCACGGTCTGTCCCCACATCACGGATCCCTTGCGCAGGGCATTGACCACCTCGCCGCGCACACCCTTGTTGAAGGGACACACGGCCCGGAATGCCCTCATCGAGCCGAGGAGTCCTAAGCAGCGCAGCAGGAATTCCAGGCGAATCAGTGAGGGCGGATTTAGCGCTGGGAAGATGTCCCTATGCCGGCGTATCTGATTGAGAGAGCGCTCCACAAATCCATTCATGGCATCCGCCAACCACTGTTCCAGATCACGGCTGAGTGGCTCCTGGTTGGGCTGGTTCCACTGCTTCTCCACGTCGCTTAGCAGTCGATGGAGAAACTTTGGGTCCAGCGGGGTAGAGCGATTTAGCTTGGCGGCAGCCACATACCTAGAAGAAGCAAAGAAATATTATTTAAACTAAATCGGAAGGATATAACATAATAATTATTTAAAACTGAAATTGAAAGTTTAATTGTAATTATTTTTTAAGAAATATATTAAGAAAACAACCCACCTTGCCATGGCGCAATGCAAATCGGATAGATCCGCCTGCACTGCCAGCTGATGCAGGATGGTGAGCGCCGGACCCGGCAGATCGCCACACCAGGTCCACGATGGCTCATGCGTGGTCACCTCGTGCTGCATGAAAACCATTTGCAACTGCTCGACCTTGTGCAGCTGCTGCTCATGGTTCTCCTCGCCCACCGTGCTGCGATCCTCACGCGTTGACAGCCACAACTTGAGCCGGATGCGTCCCTGGACAGTGCTCCGATGACTTCGTGCCTCAAGCTTAAACCAAGCATCCAGTCCGGTTGAGGGGATATCCGACAGGGGTATATTCACCGAGCCGAGGAAATCGTCCTGGGAGCCCTGGCGAGCCGACTGGCACACCTGTTTGAAGAAGCGTCCCAGTCCGCGCACCCCACGGACCTCGTTCAGTCGCGAGACGGCGTCTAGGACGCAGCTTTCGTCGTCGTGGTCCCAAATGTCCAGGTGAAAGGTGTCTGTGTTGATGTCATCTATGTCGCTGCAAAATATATAAATAAATTTTAAAGGAAAATTCTGATTCATGTTAAATTCATGTACAAATTGCTTCATATTTCCCCCATTAAAACCTTGGAACGTGTTAGCATGTGTTTATGGTGCGTTTTCCCGGAACATTTGCCTGGGCTTTGTGCTTCGTTTAATTTATTACAAGATTTATTCTTGCTCTCAAATTGAAACAATATTCCCGCAGTGTTGTCGCTGATTTCCCAGAAAGCCCTTGGAAAATCCGCTTTGGTATGAAATCAACCATAAATGAGTATTTATTTTGCATTTCTGGGAAGTGATAAGCTGATAAAAGAGGGTTAGCATAACCATTGGAGCATTTTGGAAAGGATTTAGCGAAGTTTTGTTAAATATTTACTTGTATAAAATATACAGAATTTTTTTTAAAATATATATGTTTTTGTTAGGGTGTTACTCTCCTGCTTTATTGATTTTTCATTTTTCTCTTTCATTTTTATGGGAATTGCAACATTACATTTGATTGCATTTCCTATGGAACATTTCATGTGCATTTGCGTTTCAATTTTATGGAAAATGTAAATGAATTTCTTTCTTTTACGGCTTACAACTCGTAAATTACGTTTGGCATTGAAGCGAATCGTGGAGCATGTGACAGAGATCAGGGCTCAAAATGATTTGTTTGGTTTGGATGCCAGGTTTCCTCATTTATCATTCGTCCAGGCGGAAGGAAGGACGCCTGACAATTTCTAAATATTTCATTTAAATTACTAGAGGAAGTAATTGAATAATTCCTTTTACAAATCCCTCAATAAATGTGCCGCGGTGCCCTTTTTATTTTGGCAAACAATCGAATTAAATTGTCCCCCGAAAGTGTGCACAGAGCGAAATCGATGTTTTAAATAAATTTAAATATTAAATAATGTTTTATTTATTTATTAATGTTTTGATATTATTTAGTATTTAAATAAAATTATTTTTTTAAATCCAGAGTCTCTTGAATATTTTTTTTATGTTTAAGAAACATTTCTATATTTTTTCTGTGCAATTAATAATTCACTTACAACTTGAACTTCTCGTTCCACTTGGGCGTCAGTGTATGCGGTTTAATGCTGGTAGCCTTGATGAGCTTGGCCGGCACCGGGCCGCCCAGTGAGTCGCGCTGCTCCCGTCGACCCCCCTCCCGTCGCTTGAAGCTCAGCCGGAAGCTGTGCTTGCGATGCGGCGGCGAGTCCGTGGCGCTGTTATCAAAACCACCGCTCATGTCCGCGGACAGGGCGCGCGGCGTCGGCGGCAGCGGCAGCGGCGACACGGGCGGACAACCGTCTCCGTCCGGCTGGATGCCCAGCATGCAATACGGATCCGAGAAACCTGCAGGAGAAATAAATAAAAGGAGAATAAATACATATTAAGAAATCTGTTAAATATTTAATTAATGCTTTTATGAACAGAAGTAAAGAATACATGGAGATGGCATTTAATTATATATTTATCCCCGAGAAGCGAAAGACAAGGATGCGGAAAATGGAGCGGCAAAGAAGGAATGAGAAATGGCGCCGCATTAATGAAGAAGCTCGTCCCGATGACATTAAATGCCAATTAATGGCACTGCCCGCGGGGACAGCGTGGCGTCAGCTGGTCCCAGTCACACATTGCGTATGATTAACATTTCATTTGCATAAAGTGCCGCTCAATTATTGAGTGCCTGTGATTTACGCGCACAGGCAAGCGCCATGAGCCATGAGCTATTAGCCCATAAACCCACCAGCAGCCACAGATGCCCGCTACCAAGATTAAGATTTTTCACAAGAACTAGGATTTTGTTCCTGGCATAATTGAAGCAATTGTACTGCCTTGGGGACATTGGTTCGACACGATTTATTTAATTGAGTTCAAAGTGGCAGCAAATAAAGGAGCCTATATTGAATTACCCAATACTGATTATGTACTAAAACCGATTCCTTTCGAAGGCAAATCGATTACCCGCCCAGAAATGATTCATTCGAAATTCGGACCTGTGCATGGTGGCAGCACTCATTGTAATGACCAATTTCGGTTCTTGCCTTTCACGCTTGACCAGTCCCACAGTCCAACTCCAGGCCAGGAATCACTGGCTGCTAATGAAAGTCGAGTCGAACCGAACCGAACCGAAAGGAACTGAACTGAACTGAACAGAACCTGATTCTCGGCTCTCGGAGCTTATTTGCCAGTAGAAAATGGGGCCAAAACAAAGGCAGTCCGCCGCTCTCATCAGCCACGTTTCATTGGCAACGAGTTGTTTGCCATCTGCCCAGGGCCACATCCTCTCAGCCGCTTTTACCCATTTCGGCCTACTTGGTGGGGCTTTCAGACGTTTAGCAGATGGCAGACGTTACACTAACATTGCCATTGCCACTGCCACTGCACTATTGTCGAATGGGAGGGAGGTGGCAGGACACCAGAAGAAGGCAGGAGCCAAGGAGGCAGCACTCCAGGAGGCGGTAGAAAAATGCTCGAACAGAAGTAGACGCAGACGAAGGAGCACTCAACGTATTCCTTACACATCCTTGAGCACATTAAAATGCGAAATTGCGTTGCCTTCGATGAGGCTGCTGCTGCTAATGCACAGAGAGAAATATAGAGTGGGAATAATATATTTCTGAAACTTACGTAGCAGTTTCCCTTAGATTTAAATCAAGATTTAACTGGAAACTTGATATTAAAAGCAAATTTCAATTTTATAAATTACGTAAAATATATATTACATTTTTCCCTAAAATTTTCGCTTAATTTTCCCTCAGTGTACGTCTATTTTCTGGTAGTGAGGTTTCTGCTCTTGAGCATAATGAACAAAATGGGAAGCATTAAATTGCAAATTTATTGAACGCACACTGAGACAGAGAGAACCACGAAGGGGCATAAGCAAAACTGTGAGGAGGACAAACAAAAAGGCTCCGAAAATACAGGATAATTGGGGGAAATAGTCAACGCACATGGTGCTACGTTTATGGACGCCTCGTCTGGCTTCTTGATTTGCCCACACACACAGAGAGAGGGGAAGGCACCCACAGAGGGCTTCATAATGCAATTACCGCAGTAGCCGCAAAATCAATTTACAAACTAAAAATATTTACACACGATACATAGATGGACAGATTGATACATTGAAGGAGGGGGCGCAGGGGTAACGATGCGAAAGTGTCGAGTGTGTGTGGAAAGCTGGAAAAGCTGGGCTTACCATTGGCATCCTTCGCCTCGAGGCCATCAGCCTCGATTACCACCGCAGAGAGTACGATTATCTTTGGTTTATCCTCGGCGGAGGCGTGCAGCAGGCGATAATGACGATCCGGATTGACACCGAAGGCGCGCTGTGCGTGCAGATACATTTCGTCCTTGTAATGCGCAAACTGTGTTGTTGTCAAGAAAACGTATACGTAATACGTATTATCCATACGCCATGTTGTACGTTGTGCGTTGCCATAGGGAGAGTAAATATTTTAAAAATTTAATTTAATTATATTGTCATTTATTTGTATAAATATTTTGGCAGTCAACAAAATCATAATATCATTTAATGGAAAATTTGCATATTTTCCTTTGGCACCAAATTTTGTTTATTGGCCTTCGCCGCCCTTCCTTCCTCATCAAACAAAATCCTGCTTTTTTTTTTTGGCATTTTTCCTCTCATCTCTATTGATTTATCTTCCTTGAATTTATTAGCCTGCCGACTCTTGATTTAGATCACGCTTCGAGTAACGCTTTCATCGCATTCCCGACTACTTGGAAGTTATTATAATTTGATTGCCTTTGCTGCAGCCAACAACAAAATTATGAATGAGCTCTGTACAATATTTTTGGAAATATAATTATATCAGGCTTATTTTAATCTCTGGAATCAATAATTGGTAGCTGGAATAAATTGGAAGCTAACAGAAAAGCTAATAAAAATTAATTTCTAATTAAGGAATTGATAAAAGGCAAACTAAGATTTTCTTTGAAATGTATTTAGCAGATGAGTGTACTTATAATCCCTCTCTCTCGACTTGTATTTACGCTCATTAAGCGGTCGCAGCGCGCTTTTAGTTCACCTCGATATAACTCATTTTAATTGAAAGTAATCTGAGGTTCACTTGAAGGCAACTCAGCTCAGTTCGTTTTTCGTTTTAATGACTACCTCTTGGCCGGATTATAACTAAGCAACCTTTCAGACTGTAGCATCTGTGTCTGCAACTGCCTTCCTTGCATTCGAGTTATTTTTTTTATGTTAGTTTTTTTTGCTTTCATTAATTTCCATTAGGGCTGACCTAACCCTCCGAGCAAATCGCATTTATTTATAATTATTTACGATTAAATGCAAAAATGGCCAGAGAGCCAGAGACGGATCTCCCGCAGAGACCAGGCCAGGCAATAACTTTACGGACTTGGCCAACTCACTCTGGTCCTGTGGTCCTTGCTTCTGTTTCCCCATTTCTCAATCCGCTTTGCGGGGACCCGCGAGATTTGACCGGTTTCAACTCAATCACAGCAGGAGAGAAGCTACGTTATTTTCCTAGCACTAGTTGAAACTTTTATTATGCCGGCGTAACCTTGCCCCAGCATCCTTCTCCCCCGGAGCTTGCCTTCTCTCCCAGGACCTGGTCGAGTTTCATTAGTTGTGCACTGGGCGTCTAACAGTTTTCTTACAGCTAAATTAAAAACGATAATTGAAAAATGAACTCGTGTTAAGCTGGCTCCGGCCATCGCAGAAATATTGCGAAAATATTGGAAAATTCCTTTTGAAATGGCAATCAGCAGTGGGGAGCACACTTTTAATTGAATTTCTGCCCTCAACATCAAGTTGAGAGCTCGGAAATGAAATGAGGTGACCCCATCTCCTGCCTGTCCCGAAATCTCCGCCCATTTGAATCCCTGAGTGTGTTTTCTTGCCTTTGGGCAACCCAGGGCATTAATCATTCAAATTGCAAAACGTCTCAAAGCCTAATGCCTCCGATTAAGCCTTTCAATCATGCGGTGGTGTCGTCTCTGGCACGAGAATCTGAGTATCTGGTTTTCTGGTAACCCCTAAATCGCCTTAATTTGTATAATTTGCAACTATTTGCATAAGTTGCCCCCAAAAAAGGGAGGGTCCCAAAATGCATAACTTTCCGTCCCCTTGGATATTGATTTACCTGGCCGCCGGGCGCTGGGGCGCCCACCGTATTGGCAATGGTATGCAGCACCTCCGCGTACAGCTTCTCCTTCTCATCCTGGCGGTCAATGGACTCCTCCTGGGGCGCTGGTGGATCACGTTCGTTCTCGGGATTAGCCTCGGCACGTGCTTCGGCGGCACGCGTGGCCGACATGCGACGGTTCTCCCGCTTCCAGCCGAGCGATGTAAAGTTCTCAAAATACGAGCCATCCGTTTCCTGAACCCTGCGAACCGAAAAATGCAAAAATGGGGACATCAGAACGTTGAATGAGCATGGCAACGAGTTTGAATGTGCGAGAGGGTTCACTCTTTATGGACTTGCCCGATTCTATATCAAAGAATATTCAAATTGACTGCTGCTGCCGCTGTCAGTTTGGTGTCTGACTTTAATTGGCACTGTCAATATGCCGTTGCCAATATACAAATGTGACATTGTCCTACCTATTTCAACATTTTGATAAGGGTCGTCGTCGTCGTCCCTTGGCCTGTTGCCCGTTGTCTACGGCAACGATATGGGACCGACCCACTCGGCGTATGCTTGATGCCCTGAAAGCTAAATTCTGCCCTGAGCTGCTAATTGTATACAAATATTCAGCATTTTGGTGCATGGTAAGAAATAGGGATTTAAATGTTGATGAGTTAACGTTTAAATTTGAATTTAAGTATTCATTTTATATTCTTTACATGTCTTGTTAAATTTTTAATTAATTTAAACACACAAAAAACAATAAAATATATTTCAAATTTATTATTAAATTTAAATTTATTTCCCTAAACCTTTGCTGTTCTCTCAGTGCACATTTGTTTGAAACTTTCTGGATGTGAAGTTGTGTGTGGGGATCCTAACTAGGGCTAGTAAGGATAGTATATGCGCTGCCTAATCATTTGATTTGCATGCCTCGCACACCCATACCACACACACTCTTGGACTTATCCAAGCAGCTGTGGCAAAAAAAAAAAATATAAGAGAGAAAAAAGTTGGTAACAAAGTTTGCCTACTCAGCAGCGGAAACGGCTAAGCGGCTTAACTTTGTCGCCGTCGTTCATGATTTTTTACGTTTACGTTTATGGCGAAAAATAAACTGGAGCGTTGCCGGTTCCCCCCCCCCAAGTAGGCAACACTTTCTGTCGACACTTTTGCGCCGAAATGTAGGCAACACTTTCCGTGGACACCTCTCCGTGTTGATGTGCGAGAGGAAGGTGTGCGAAAATGGTCAACGTAATTGCCGTAAATGATAGGGCAGAAGGAGTGTGACCGGCTTGGGACACTAACTGCATTGTTTGAAGCTCGAAAGTTGTTCGGGGAGATATTTAATTTTAAACTTTTTCGCCCAGATGTTTGTGTTGCTTTTTATTTTTCGTCTGCTTTGTGATTTCATCGCTTCCAGAGACACTCAATTTTGGTTTCAATTCTTAAGATTTTTCACAATTTTCTCCCTTCTTTGGTTTTTTTGTTTTTCATTTTCCTGTGGCTCTGTCAAAAGTTTTTCGTGAACTTCTTTTTTTGGTATTTATTTTGTCGCAAATATTTATTTTGTATTTAACTTCAAGGTAAACAATTTTCGTGGGTGAAAAGTTTTCATTTTCACTTGAACTTTATGGCACAAAATTATTATTGGTTTTTATTTGTCATGCGAATCAACGTTCTTCCCAATTGCAGAGAAAATCGAGAGACATATAGTCACCTCTGAGGTGGATATTGCTGCCAATCGGAAAATATTTAAAAAGAAATTGATTCGAATTCTTCAAGCAAAAAAGTTAAGGAGGATCTCTGGGGCACCTTGGTACATGCGGACTAGTAGCATAGAACGAGACCTGAAGCTGGCCAAACTTGGCGACAAACTTCACACTATTGCAACAAAGTGCATGGAAATCACCCTTATAGTCTGGCAAGAAGCTTAGCCACCTCTGAACATAGAACACGAGTTAGAACACCAACCTCACGACCTCCCTGACCAGGTCTTGACATAACACTTCAACCAGTCCCAGTCCCGTATTTCCGACGATGATCGGACGAATACGAAGTACAATAGTAAATAAAAATAAATAAAATTAAGAAATGTAATAAAAATGTAAACCAAGTAAAACGAAGCCTCAGTCTTCCTTCACATTCCGTCCATTGTCGGTCGTATATGAGGTACAATAGTAAATAAAAATAAATAAAATTAAGAAATGTAATAAAATGTAAACCAAGTAAAACGAGGCCTCCGTCTTCCTTCACATTCCGTCCATTACGGGTATACATTGCAAAATTATCGTTAAATTTGTTAAATAAAAATTAAAATATTGTTACTAACTAAAACTAAAAATAAATAAACCATAAAATAAAATATATTTCAAAGAAAAATACAAGGATGTCTGATTCCAATGAAATCAAGAAACACACTGCCAGTCTGGCTTTGAGCAGCTTGCTTATAAACGATTTAGTTTGAAATAAAACTCAAGGGCTTCTACGATTTTCTGAGTTAAAAAGTAGATTTTGTAGTAGGCTTGCAGAGGGTCACACTGATTTGATACAACCCCCTCTACCAAAATGTTGTTAAATTTTTAAAACACAATTCGCTTTGCTCAGTGTGTGAGCTTGGTATTTCCGAAAAACTTTTCGACACTCAAAAGGTTTTGCCCGCATCCAAAGTTGCCATGGGTGCGAAACTTTCTTTGGAAATTTCAGTGCTGAACTAACTGAAAGAACTTTTGTAATTACATAATTATGAAGGTTGAGCGGTAAAGTTTCGGAAAACAAATCGAGAGCACAACTGAAATTGAAGTACATTAATTAATTGGTAAATAATTTATTTCAGATATCCCCCATGTCGTGACTTTAACTCCGCACTTGGTTTATTTACGTCGTCGGTGCCAGGGAGCCGTCAAATCCCCGGAGAGGCTCATCATTCCGCTCCCGTGCCTAATTTATGCATTTCACATTCGAATACCTTCCTCCCTATTAGCATTTCCATCTGCTGGTTAATTACCGCAGGCAGACATGCTTTCCAACAAGGATGAGTTATGTTTCCGATCCCTGCCAGAAAAGTCCTAAATTTGCCAAAGCCATTCGCACATCATCAGGTATGCATTAGGGGAGCTTACCCGGAATTGGAGCGCGGGTCCACCTCGGGCCAGCTCAGCCGGCGCTTGCAGAAGGCCAGCGGCGGACGGGGCGGCGGATCAGGCTGATGGAGCGGCGAGTTACGCTGCCGGAAGGATCCAGTGCGCGGCGGAGCGAGGCATTCGAGAGCCCGGGATTGGCGACGCGACTGAGGTGTTCCGCTACCGCCGCCAGAGGCGGATGTCGAAGGACTGCCGGATCCAGGGTTGCCGCCTGCACCTGCTATTTTTGGGTAACCTGTGGCGGACACAAAAAAAGGGTTAGTAAGACGAGTATAGTTAGGGAAATCGGTTTAGGAAGGGTCAGGGAATTGGAGTTAATTAAAAATAAAATTACCATACAATTTTGTAAAACATTTTTATAAATTCTATATTAATAATTTAAGCACGGTGAAAGTATATCTAATATGGTTAATAACAATATTTTCATATACCAAATCACAGTGTTTCTTGCCAAAATTTACTATTATTCTTTAAAATTATAATCTTATAAACCAGAATATAGAACATCAAACTCCACAAAACTGTCAAGGGAGTGTTTTATTTTTAAAATTTGTTTTCTTCGCTCAATGGAGTCCATTTTGGTAGCCAAAGAAGCAAATGCATTTTGCTCTCTAAGGAAAATTGAGCATTCACAAATACAGGTACTTGGAAGCTATGTATTTCCCTGGGGCTCTATGCCCCATTATTCCACATAACATGCAAATTCCAGCGGAGAGCAGGTGGGATGCTGGTGATGGTTTCCAACGGAAGCCAGGTGGCAAATGAGGACCAGTCAAAGTCAATGTGGTGCCGGCGCCTTTGCCATGTGGTGCAGTGGCCCATGCTCAAGGTAACCGCAGCCCGCAACCTTGACATGCATCTGTGCGGCTCCTGCGGCTCCTCCTGCCACTGGCCCTGCTCCTAGACCGAGTCCCGGACTATAGCTTCCAGCACAGAAGTCCCACACGAAGTGCATGTGGTTCGGTGCTTTTTTGGAATGGAAATAGCTAACCATTACTGCGGCTTCGAAAAGAAAGCTTTTCGGGCCAAGGAGAAGCCACTGTGGGTGGAAGCCAGAAGAAAAAAATATATATACACGAGTATGCACGAAAATTTCAGTTGAAAAGTGGGTGTGCACAAAGCGGAAAGTCAAAGTTGGACTACACTGGACCCCGTCCATTACAAGGAAAAAACGCTTACACATTGATGGCTTTTCCGGGAAAACGTCCCCCTCTGCGCTGGCCGGAAAAACCGCTCGTTCGTGGCTCTTGCAACAAGATAAGCCAATTTCAATTTTGATTCAAATGCTGGAGACGGCGGTGAATCAAAGTCCCAGCCAAATGCCAAGTCAATGTCGTTGGCAATGGCGATAGCACAAATCTAGGATGCTGAAAAGTTTAGGTCCAACAAGATCCCGGCGGTTTGTGGCCAGGACACGCAGCTCCTGCTGATGCCGCGTCTTGACATTTAAATGTGTTTGCATTTGCCAACTAGGACAGAAACAACAACCTCGAACATCGTTTAGCTTGGCAAACAAGTTTTGCATAGCCAAGCGGAGCCAAAGCGGAAACGAAGCCGCACAAGAAGTCACATATGCAGGCTGATTGCTTTCGCTTGGCTAGCAGTGATTGCACTTGAAGAAAATCTAGGTAAATTGTCTGATATAAATAGAAGTTTCTTAAGGAATTTGATATACTTTAGAGCTTCTTTTAAAGGAAAATCTTTAATAGAGAGGATAAGACTTCAGGTTTATTCAGAAAATATAATTTCTCGGTTTTTTATTTCAAAATTTCAGAAATAAACTGTGAAAAAATATTCAAATATTTATAAATACCTAGAGTATTTTAGATAAAATGATTTTAAGTGACTTTTAAAAACAAGTCATCAAAAATAAAGGGTCAAAATGAGTTTTTTGGTAAGCTTAATGTTAGGAATTCAGCTCTAACTAAGAAGTGTTCTATAGGTATTGTGCCGATACCTGTTTCAGAATAATAATGCCTTAGTTTATAAGCTAATAAATAAAATATTTTATAAAAATTGAAAATCTTAATTTTTGAAGCGTGTACCACCCAAGAAACCCCAACCCAGACGCCACACTCCGCCGCTGCTGTGTGGTTTCTTCAGCACATTTGTTGATCCATATGCGAGAGGCGTTGCCTCACAATATATATTCAGCGATTGGGAAACTTTGGGCGCATTTGGTGGCTGGCAAGACATGTAATGTAATTTTCATATTGAGAACCGATGACGATAACGTCTGGCGGATTCAATAAACTTTTCCATGTTTACCATTGCTGTGGCACGCATACGCAAACAAATTGTTTTTGGGCCAAGTTATGGCACAGCCGATAGAGAGTGAAAGTCGAACTTAACTTAAAGGTGACTGGTGTGTTTTTTTTATGCACTTATTCCCCTGTTTATCCAGTGTGTATGTCCCCCCGAGGGGGTGGTAAAAACCACATAGGAAAACTCCATTAGCAACTTAATTAGGGCCAAGGCTGTTTTGGGATTCATGCCAACCTGCTTCGTTGCGAGGACGTGACCTTTGCCAAAGCGTTTAACAGGCCAATGCTTTTACATAGGAAAAAATATAAACTTATTAAAAATAAAATAGAAAATGAAATATAATAAATTATCAATTATTTCCCTTAAGTATTAAGATATGCTTGTGTTGTGGCTTTAATTCTATATTTTAGGAAATCTGGAGGCTGGGAGAAAGACAGCTTAAAGTCTTATTTTATTTCTTCAACTTATTTTCCCCCAATTTAATTTGTTTTCTTAATGCAAATGCAATATTTTCACCCAGTTCCAAAGCAAAAGAAAAAAAATAAATATATACAAGAAAGATAGGATCCATAATAAAACTCACCCAGTAATGGATTGGTTGCATTCGGATTGCCGATTACCACGCCGCCGGAGGGGTAATTACTGCCGCTCGCCGTCGATGCCACGCCCCCGGTGGGTGGTGCTGGAGCGCCATAACCGCCCAAGCCACTCCCAATGCTCGCCTGTTGCTGCAACGGCGGATGCGGGTGCTGCAGCTGTTGCTGCTGCTGTTGCTGTTGCGGCGGAAGCGAGTGCTGTTGCTGCAATGCCTGCTGCGGAAATGGCGGCTGTTGCTGAGCGGAAACGAGGCCGCCGCCAGGTGCAGAGCCAATGCCTCCGCCAGACTGCTGCTCGGAGGACTCCTGGCGGGAGAGGGAGAAGCGGCGGTTGCCAAGGCCCAGGCTGGAGATGCCACTGGTTACATACTGCTGCATGGAGCTAAGGAAACTCATGGCGGCATCTGGCTCCTGGCTCTGTTCCAATCGCCGGCGTAATTGGCTCAAGTCCTTTTCGTCTCTCTCTCTCTCTTACTCAGGCCTTCCCTCTCGCTCTGTGAAATTAATCACTTGGAAAGTTGCGCCCGGGATTTGCCTGCCCGATTATAAATTGGTCCTGGCTCCACGTTCCCGACTGCGTTCTTATCACGGCTCTGCAAGGATAACAAGGAAACGAAATGTTTATTTAAGGTGGAAACTTCTGGCAGACGCTCGAGAATTGTTTTCTGCTATTTTTGGCAATAATTGAATTCCGGCCGGGGACTTAAGTTCGGAATTATGTGTGTGTGTATGTAAATATTTTCGTGTTCGGATTAAAAGCAATTACAAAATACAAAAGCCAGACGAGATTTTCTTCATTTGCTAAAGATTTTCTTCATCTCCCATGGCTTATTTTGCAGCACAGGAATTTCCTTAGAGCAAAGCGTAAGAAAAAAAATATAAATTAATTAAGCCAACTTGTTTGGCATTTTTATAGCCACTGTACTTTGGGCAGGCTGGACCCTGCTAGACTGTGTTCTAGGGACCTAAACCATTATATTTGCCTTTGATTCAATTCATCAGCTTTTCTGTTGACTTGCCGATGATTTTTTAACACTCAGAAAAAACGGGGCGGAGATTAATCTTAATATTCTTTAATAAAAGTTATACAAATTGCTAGTTTTTAAACTTATCAAAAAGTGTTCAAAATTAAGCTACAAAATCATAGCAAATCGAACTAAATTTACACAGAATTTAGATTCTAAAGAACCCTCTTTTTTCGAGTTCATGTATTTGCTGTTTGCCCAACCAAATTCCGTGCAAATATCAAGGGTGGAAATGGAGGATTGCATTTGTTTGGCCTATCTATCGATTGATTGCTGAGTCGTTTTGCTCACTTCTGGGCATGGCTCTTAATTAAATTTCTTTTGAAGTAGGCTCCGCTATCCTAATTAACGTTTAATCAGCTGAGCTTAATGAGCCATTTTTGGTGTTCATGGCTAATCGATCTGCATGAATAATTGGGACACACACACACTTGCTACAGAACACAGCACCTGTCCGAATTGTCCTGGGCCCATAAATTAGCTGGCAAGGTAGTTTATTTTTGCTTGGCACACTGCAGCCTGGTCCAAAATACTAATAACAATAATTAGACGACCAAAAATAAACGCTGGACCAAGCAGAAAAGTAGTTAATTAATTAGTTTGCCAGGGGTTTGGCCCTCGATTATGGATGAGCAAATCGGTGTGGCGAAAATGAAATTGCAAATTGAACACCAGTTTGTGGGCTGCTACTTTTCTTTTTTGTTTTGTGGCCATTCAAACGTGACCGGCTTAGTTGTTCGTCTTTTCATTTGCCAAAATCGGATGAAGGTCCTCGATAACAGTGGGCCATTTCGATTTGAGGAAACGGAAATAAGAAGTGATTTTCATTTTAAGAGCTTAATCCTTAAGGGAAAGTCTGCAATATTTCAGAAACTGTGTGGAGGAATTACACTTAAATTTTATATTTATTCATAAGTTTTTCATTTATTGTTGTATTAAATCTGAATTAAGGAATCAAATGACATCTTTTCTCCTTAAAAATAAGCCTGATAATAAATCTGATAAAAAGTCTATAGCAAAACACATCCAATAAATATTTGAATCCCTGGAAATTCGTTATATTAATGACAGCTACTTCTATATATAAAGTAAGCACTTGATATTTTAGGCTCGCCATAAAACCAAAGCCATTTGGGCCACTCAAATAAATTTAGTTTGTTTTACTATTTATTCCAGTTCTTGTAATTACGCCCCTATCTCTATTCCGATAATGGCATGACAATGTTTTATTGACTTGTCATTTTTCCGGAAAAGTAGTGTTAGCCTGCGCCATCAACAAAATACTGGGCAACATTATCAACCTGTTTACTGTCGCCATAAAAATAAAACTTGATTAAATTCGCCACACAATGCGAATGGGTAACCTGCAGGCTGGCAGGATGTTAAGCACTCTCGGGGACAATGAAGGTATTATCCAGTGTGCCAGAGTGGCTTTAAATGCCATAAACGACATATGAGGGGAGGAGTGCGGTGTGTATACAGAGTTGGCCCCCCAAATGGCCGGCAGTCATGGCAACTGGGAACTACTATACAGTTGGAAAACACAATTCGCATCCAGCAGCAGCAGGCCACAATGGCCAGAACACAGCTATGATTGCGGACTGCGATGATGTCCGTGTGCGTAATCAGCGCATTCATGCATAGGGCCTTAGCTTCCGCATGTTATTCCGCTGGCGCCATAATTAGCGGAGTAGGAAAATAATTTGCAAACCATTTCTGTGTTATCTGAGGCTCGGCCTTTGTTTTGTTTTCGAAAATCCTAAAAATAAATCAGCCTTCACACAAAAGTTGATTTATATGGTGCACGTAAATTTGCCATTAAGCGACAGACAAATGTATTGCAATTAAATGAAATGGAAGCGGAGCCACAGGAGCAGCAGCAGCAACAGCTGCCCATATAAAAGTAAAGGAAAATGTTCAGGCGAGCTGGGAAGGGTACATAAATACGCAGCCAACTTAGACTTTAATTAAGATTAATTAGTCACTGGCCAGGCCAGGCAGCGCGAAAGTGGCATGTGTGTGTGTGACTTGATGGGTTACATTACACGGAAAAATATCGCATAGAAAAGTTATTGATTTAAGAGGGTTTTTAGTCCTTTGAATTTCCTACGTTTCATTCATCTACAGTATATAAATCTTTAAGGCTTCCATTCTCAAACAAAAAGAACACTAATTCTTTTCTCAGTGTCTCATAAAACTAAGGACCCAGGACCCTGAAGCCCCTTTGCGCTGTTCCTTCAATCTATTTAGTTTTTATTAATGATTGCGCATACGACATGTGGGCCAGGGTGTGTGTGTGTATGTCCTCGCTGACAGCAACCCTTGTTCGAAAAAGTTTTCGCAGAGCTTGCGGGGGAAAAAAAAACTAAATTAAATGTGGATTGCACTAATGTGACTTCCCGAATATTCCGGCTAGCTGTCACAAAGTCGCGAGTTCGCCCATCAACTGGCAGTAATTATCGTTTTTTGTGCCCCCGAAATGAACTGAGACAAGGGTCTGAGACGGGTTTCCGCATTCGAGTCAATTTTAGACACATTTTGTGAGCTGATTTGGTTACCACGCATAATTTAAAAGCATTTCCACCTGTGCAAACATTTTCTGCGGTGGGAAGGTGCACAAGGAAAAGTTGCGAAATCCAAATAGAAGGCGGAAAATTGAAAAACAAAATCTGCGCGGCCGCCAAGGAGAATACGGAATACGCTTATCAAGGCTTTGAGTTTGTTAATCCCATAAAAGAAATACAAACGAAAGGAATAATAAATAAATCCCTAATGAATCTGGTCTTTGAATGTAATTATTCTTGCTATAAATCTAAATTAAGGGTACATATACCTTATATATACCTTCTCCATATAAGCATACTCTATATTGTGCAAAAATCTAAATATAAGCTTGGCAAAAACGCACAAACCCCAAGGGAAAAGGAATTCGCACACACACACAAAATATAAAAAAAGCAATTGTAAGGCAATTTCAAAGGCAAAATTATTATGTCGCTTTATGTCATTTTTTTTTCTCTTCTTTTTGCACACCGAAAGCCAAGTTTTTCCAGGGCAACTGGCAGATGAATGTCGGTGCTCATGCCCCTGAAAATAAGGGGGAAAAGGGAGAGCTTTTTTGGGGTGCACGCTGCTGGTGTACGTGAAAATGACAAAGCAGCTGCTCAACAACAAACGGCAACGCATGCTGTGGCATAAAATTTATTTTCACTCCTGTCCCAACCATGATATGTGGCTTTAAATATCTACAGAAAAAAAAAAACCAAGGGAACCACCGAAAAAAACTCGTTTACATTGCGGCAGATATTCCAGATTCGACATCTCAAAAGGCACAAATGGCCAAGGGTTCTGGGGTTGAGAGTTGAGCCAAACAAATGTGCGGCATTCAAATGTCTTCCTTAGTTGCGTGTATGTTTGCCTCGGTGTTGGGGGCGTGGCAAAACATAAATTACTTTACGCACGAGCTACCTCTGAAAGTCAGGCAGTAAGGAAGTGGGCTAAACAATGCAGCAATTGTGAACAAATATAATTTAATTGCCACCAGCAACTAGCAGGTTAAAGGCATTCAATAATGGCAATAATCATGGCCAATAACTGGCTTGCTATGTTAATCCTTTGTCTGGAGAGAATGCAAATTTTGATGATTTTCGATTTGATTTCCATTGTTTCAAAGGAAAATAGAGATGAATACAATGGTTTGTTATTGAAATAATAGTTTTTATCAAATGAATACGAGAAGATATTTAATTAGCTTTGTTTTAAAATGAAAAGGAAAGGAAGTTTTACTTTATACAGTTGTAAATGACTCCTTGACCCTGAAAGATAATCTTAAATCAACTTAAACTATTAATAATACACAAAAAATCCCTAAATCTAATCTTTGTTCAAAGAAAATCCCACATAAATACCTCTTTAACCCCAACAACAACTTGATTATAATAGTTCAATAATATAGTTCCAACTGTGAATATCACATAAGCCTTTGTAACTTTCAAAGGGTTTAATAATAAACGTGTCAGTAACCGATAGTTGATGCGATAAGCATGAATTGCATTAAACCTGAAGCGAAAAAATTGCATCTACCGCAAAAGCCCAAGGAATGGGATTATGTGGCCACCCACTGACTGGATCCCAGTGGGTGGATCCACTCGTTTTTCCGCATCATCGGCATTGGCATCATCATCATCATCACCATAAATCACAAAAGTGCAGCATATGCATCACTTTCCACACTTTCCGCTCAGCGTTCTTTGTTTGCTTTGGCAATTTGTAGTCAGCATGTTGCCGGCCAGAACGAAGGACCAAGGACTGCCACAAGTCCTAGGACTAGAGCTCTAGTTCACTGTCAAATGCAATAAACCAGAGAGAGTGAGAGATCCCTTTTGTGTGGGCCACAAGATGCTGGACAAACAGCAGACACAAATGCACTGAGAAAACAGATGAAGAAATTGGGAAAAGAAAGTGATTTTAAAAGGAGGTTTTAAATAAAATGTATTTTTTGAAAGCAAATAAACTTGTCTTCTCTTACTTTCCTGAATTTAAATAATTAAATATCACAAAAAAAGATA